TGTATATTCCTTTAGGTAAGATCCATGTATATAATTGTCATTTATGTTATTCTGGTTTTCTGTAAAAAAATATGAGGAATGAATAAATTATTGATTGGAAAAAAATATATACAAACTGGGTAAGAATATGTTATATTTTTATTTTCCAGAATGGCAAGTTTTAATTTTAAAACTCAAACTCATTGACATTGAGTCAAAACTGCCTCATAGCTGCCCATCTTTCTCCTACAGAGCCACTGGTAAATGTGAGGAGCCAGAGAGGCATGGTCTTTGGGTCAACAGGGCAACTCTCTACAGAGAGACTACCAAAGGGAAGTCTTCATAATTTTGACAAAACACCTGAGGTATAAAATGGGACTGTCTCCTGCTGCCCTAGTGGTAAGTAATTGCACTGGCAACACAAAAGAATGTGGTCTGAATCTACCAGCTGCTCCAAGTGAGAAAAATGGGCGATCAACTCCCTTGTGATTTACTGCCTCTGAAAACCTGCTGGAGGGTCAGCTACGGGTCAGCTCCAACTCCATGGTACACAACAAGAAATATAAAATAGTTTTATATCAAGCTATTTAGGTATCTCATTGACTCATTGCAGGTAAATCTGAGCTGACTCAAAGCTGGCCCTCCAGTGGGTTTTCAGAGGTAGTAAACCACATGGGAGGAGACTGCCCATTTTTCTCCTGAAGAGTAGTTGGTAGATTCAAACTGCTTGCCTGTGAGGAACTCGTGACCCATTCGGTTACCAAAGTATAAGTAACGATAATCTTTTTGAAAGTTTAAAACAATTTTTATTATTTTTTTCCCCCTGCATTCTTCAGGGTGGCATGTAATGTGGTGGATGTAGGGCAGTACTTTTTATGATCACACAGGAAGTTGTAGTAAAATGCCATCTCTATCTCAGCCCTTGGCCCTTATCACTGGCAGGAAATAAACCGTCTATATACTCAGTTCTATAAGCATCTTGTCAAATTAATTGCTACCCTGATTTTTAAAAATAGTGTTAGTTGGAAGGCGTTGGAACATATGTTTTAGGTGTCTAGTTTTGTTTCATTATTTGCTAATGGAACATACCAATGTGCTAACTCAAACTAGATATGATCACTTAGTAATTGTAGCAAAGATAATCTAAACAGATACTTCACAGAACAACACTCAATAAAATCACCTAAGGGGGAAAAAAACACCAAACAGAAAAAAAAGCAGAAGTTTTAGAAGATTTTGTGTCTATGAAAGATATAACTATCAGTCTCTTCTTAGGCACAGCAAAAGAGAAAGAAAGAAGCCAAATGCTCAGAGAAGAAATTCTTCTATAGGACTGGCTTTCAACAGACTCCACAGCCCATGTACCCTAAGACCAGCAGAACTAATGGTGCCCAGCTACTACTACTGACTTGGGCCTCAACAGATGGCACCTGACAGAAGTGGAAAAATGTAGAAGAGACTCAAATTCTTAAAAATTCTTCTCAGATCAGGTGAAACCAGAGGGCTCCCTGGCCCTACACAAGAGGCCACCACCCTGAGATAGTCCACATCCCTGAACCAAAATTACCCCTATCTGTCAGATATTAGCTAATAGACTGGATTATAAAATAAAGAATATAACTAATGAGTACTACCATCTGTGAAAAATCATCAATGAGATCCAATACTGACGTGTGTGTGTGTATGAGAAAGATGGAAGGAAGGGGGGAAGGAAGGAGGGAGGGAGGGAAAGAGAGAGAGAGAGAAAGAAAGAAAGAAAGAATATATATATACTCATGTATAGCAAAAATGAAAAGGTTAAGAGGGTAGGGAAGCCAGATTACTAGACACAAAACACCCAGAAT